TGGAAGCGATAGTACGATGTACGTTGGCTGCTTACGAAAACTGAAGTTGTAGAAAAATCGAAAATTGTTTCACTTGTGTGTGAATCAGCACTTATGTTAGAAGACGTTTAAAATTCCAATAGCATTTTTTCATATTATTGTATGACGTGTTCAAATTCTCATTGAAAAAATGTAAAATCAGTCAGTACCTTTAAAGTCAATTTACGATTGCAAAAGAAACGGATTATCTATGAATCATTTTATACTGAACTATATATATGTGAAGGATGTGTGATATAAAACATTGATCTCATCCATCTGTCATGTTACATTTTAAACCAAAGCGATGGTTAAGCATTCGATAACACTATACGTTACAAAAACAAAATGAAGACGCCAAAGTATAAATTGTGTAAAAGTGAAAAAATCAAGCAACTATGAACTTTTAAAAGAATTTATCAACAATAGTACTGTCTAGCTGATAATAGGTGTGTAGAACAGTTGGATGCGTAGCAGTGCTCTTAGTACATAACATTGACAAATAGTAGTATTATTTTAAGATGGTGTTGGTGTTAAAGTCTAAATCAACATTTCCACCTATTTTCTCATATAAAAATCATATTTTTTCAAAATAAAGCTCATTAAGAACATTTTAATGGAAAAATAGCTTTTCTATATTATAATATAATGAAAAGTTCAAACGAAAAAACTTCTTTGGTACAAATATTGAAAAATTTTCTTCAACGTTATTGCTGTTTCTATGTAAAGCTTGTAGTATTTTACTATCCTTTTCATTGGCAGTTTCAAAGTTGAATTGCAACTTTTAACAATATCGGAATTCTTGCATCTGTATATGATTCACAGAGTCGAACGATGCATCGATTGTTTCTAAATTTTTGTCTTATGTGAAAAGAAACTCACACATACTTTTCCACTGCAGAACTGTCGGGTTAAACTAGTATATATCTGTATGAATTTTGAACAGTTCATACAATAAAATGAAAAAAATGTTGTTAGAATTTTCAATACAAGTAATAATTAATAAGTGAAACAATTTTGAAGGTTTTAAATATCAGTTTTTGAAAGCAAGCAATGTATATTGCCTCCTCGCTCCCGTTCTTGGAAATTGCAGTGATTCGAGCTGTTCTACTCAACAGCAAAATTTATAGTTGCTCATAAATTTAATAAAGTCAAAAAGTATTCGATAATCATCAACTTGCTGAATTCCATCTACGAATTGGATGAGATCTGACTTCTAGACAATCTTTTCTGATCTGAATATGTTCCCAGACTTAAAATAAAAAGTAAAATGGACTCAGAGTTTTATAATCAAGAGTACTCAACTCATAAAAAAATCTTCTGTGCGGAGGAAAACTTCAAATTAAAGATTGTCATCAGACTAACCATCTGGAAATGGCAAAATGTTTCAATCAATGCTGTTTCTCGGCAGCGGTATCGAAGTCATCTAGAATATTGAGTCGAAAGGTGAGTATCATGTTAAAATGAGATGGTTATTGTGCAGGCTCTGGAAAGGAAAAAATCATTAAATAGTATAGTCCATCTCAGGGATATAAAAAGTAGAGGTTTTGTTTACAGCTATGACATTAGCTGCCTTTGTCAGTCATGTTGAAGTAGACCGTATGGACCAGACTTTGAGTTTGGATGTCAATTGAAATGTAACTCTCATTTCTAAATATTATTCGTAGCTAGATCAAATCGTTAGAGAGCATATATACATTCGCGCTCACGCTCCACATCGAACTTCCTACTATAATTGACGCATTTCGCCATATTGTAAATTAAAATGAATGTCTTCCAAGGAGCGACTTGCTTTGTCTTACGAGTCTTTCCTCTTTGAATCAAAGGCCCAAAAATAAATAGCAAAAACTTGTTCGAATCTTCTTTATATTCGTGTACTTACTTGTCGAAAAAAATGAATCTTTAAATATTTATGTTATAAACTATCCACAGTAGTCATTTCATCATTTTATATCACTCATATAACCCATTTTACAAAGTAGGAAGAGAAAGTATCTGCTTTGTCTTCTAAGTCAGAAAACAGAACTGAAACAGTTTACTGTTAGCTACGAAATCTTTAAAAATCTTTAGAAACTTGGGTGTGGATGTTGTTGTGGATATCTCTTTTGTTTATAATGACAGGCCTATCCATACTTACATCCACACCCACACTAGATATTACATCAAATATTAAGCAAAAAAATGGAATATATCAAAAGATAACACAATACATTTGGAAAATATATACGTTAGGATATCAAAGCAAGAAAAACCGGTATAAGAAGACCCCAACAGAAAACAATAGAGAAAATATTTGACAAAAAGAAAGAGAACAAACATATATGAATAATACCTTTAGCATGATTTCTATTTGATAGCAGTGGACATTATCGATATAGATGATTATATTTTCCGCAAACACTATATTCTCTATGATGACATTGAGCTCAATGTGTGATTGACTATAATCATTTTATTGTAATAGAATTACATCAAATCTGTGCAATCGATCTGGATGCATTTCAGGATGTAAGTTCCTTTACTGAAATGTCATGAAATAAGATGATCACGCTAGTTCTTGACGCCCAGAATTTCAGATGGATTAGCTTGATACTGGTTTTATGAAAAATTTGATTTTGATAGTATCAAGATTTGCTAATTTTCGTAAGTTATCGCATATTCACTTGATTTCAATTGTTTTACTTTCATGAGGAAATCCACTACAGTCATGATAGAACGAATCAAAGCTTGCTTTCTTAACAAAAATTTCAAAGTGTTGAGAGGTTTCGTTGCACATACTCGATCCGGAAAATTTTTGTTGTTGTATTGAAGATAAAGTTTAGTCTTTGACTATTAATGACAACGTAGGGACACATTTTCATCTTGAAATGTTCTGCAAATGTTCGCAATCAAGATATTCTGATCAAGGTATTACTGATTATTTTGGATATTAATTTCGGTTAATTTTGAGTGTACCGTCAAACAAAATGGTTATCAGATCAGTTTACGTCATCAATGTTATAGTGAGGCATGAAGTATACGATGCTAACAAGACCAATTAAAATGCTTCAGTTCGATCTTCTTTTGCTCATATTTTTTTTGTCTTATCAGTACCAAATTAACTAGACAGCAGTATGAGGGAGAGACGAGCCGTCATTTGCTAAAAATCATCCACAAGATCAAAAGTGTGGATAATATAGAAAAGAGAAGGAACACTCAATTTCAACATATTAATATATAATATAAATATGTTGGCACAATATACAGAAAATTATTATAGAATAGGAAACAGTACAATAATGAAAGATGAATAATAAAACATAACAGACAACTTGTTGTACAAAAAATGCAATACATAAGTGAAAGTAATTGAGATAGCTCAATTAATAGGCGTTTTTAAACAGAGAATAGATATTAGTAAAATTGTTTAGTTTTAAACTTACATTTCTTTATTAGTTTGATGAAACTTTGTACACACAAAAATATGAATGTTTTTGCAGTAAATTATGACAAACAAAACTTTTTAGAAATTATATAATACTTAGAAGTGTAATAAAATATTTTTCTGTCAAGTCTTTATCAATTATTTTGATTATAACAGAATACATAAAAGTCTATAGGCAAAGTTGGAATTATAAGGAGGTGTTGAGTCTGGCCGGAAGCCCAAATTCTTTTTCTATCGTCTTGCTTCCATAATATGATTTTTTTACCACTTGTAGTGTTCACATAATTCTAATGAACAGGCAAGTCTAAGGAGTCTCTATCTTATGTAAAATCAAAATAATCAAAGTCTTGAAAAAATATTTTTCTACTTACAAACAGATTTTTTTGAAGATTTTGATTTCACATGAGATAGCGTTCATTAGCATTATGCAAACACTGTAAGTGGTAAAAAAAAAACATTTTTTTCTGATGTATTATGGAAGCAAGATGATAGAAAAAGAACTGAAGCTTTCGGTCAAACTGAGCACCCACAGTCTTTGATGATTGAGGGTGTATAGACTTTCCTGGCTAGTATTTCCGAGATCATGTCATCATTCAAAGAAAATAACAAGAGAAGAGTCATTCCTGCAAGTTATTACTGTGGTACTGATCTACTGTCAAATTGTATAAAAACAGAAAGGTGAATATGTATATATTCTAGTACATTTCATTCGATCAATAAAATCTGAAGAAAGCACCACATTGATTGCTGAAAATACATAAGAAGAAAGAGAATATGCTACTAATAATGAGATTTATTTAAACAATAATAGGAGCATTGTATCGATGGAAAAGATCTTAATACTGTTCACATATAAATTTTAACCAAAACTTAAAGGTGATTAATTTGAAATGCCTATTAAAGATTTTCTGCAAGTAGTTTTACTGTTTTGCCATTATTTAAACTATCAAGAAGGACCTTAGCAATTTTTCGTGAGCTATAATGATAAACACCATCAGAATCTTGTGGTGGTCTTGTCACTAAAATATGTGCGACAGTTGTAGATTCATTACCCCTACGTTGATGTTTATATCTGGGTCCACCTATTTGTACTTGAAAATTAACATAGTCACTATTTCCAGTAAAATTCTGATCATCTAAGCGTACATTATCTGTTTGCTTTATTGTACCCGCCTTAAATGGCTCAGACGTAATTACCACTAGTTTATCATTTTCATTCCTTAATTTTTTCATAGCTTCATGCATTAATTTATATTTTATTTCTTTTTCTAGAACAATCCTGCATTACAGTGATAGGATTGAAGATTTAAAGGTTTTTCTTTGGTATACCACCTATCATCTGATTACATCTATTCAAATCAATCTCCCATCTATGTCTAACATATTTTTCTGAATGTTTAGCAGTATAACGACGTAGTGATACTCGTTCTTGTTCTATAATATTTTCATTTACTTTTCTACCTAATGATTCATGATAAGCTATTAGCAAACAATCTTTCCGTTCATTGATCTGTATATATGTTTCTGTTCCTCTACCAGTAAAATAATGTCCAATATCTTAATTTTTATCTGCTTCATAATAGATTTTAGCAGATTGTTTAAAAAGAGCAAGTATTTTTCTTACTCCTGAAGGATTTATTATTTCTTTTTCTCCAGTATCTGAATTGTAAACAGTTATTTTTCTTCTTTTACGATCTGCTAACATTTTGATATCAGCTAGACCTAAAGCTCTATCTTTATCTTTTGCTTCTCTCAAATAACTTGCAGTAATTTGTTTTCGATTTCTAACATTATTTTGTAGATCTTCTCTTTTCGCTCGATCTTGTTGTTCTTTCTTTGAACCTTGATTTATTAGCAATTTGACTTTCTGCATGATTTTGTCTATTTTGATTCGATTGTTTCATTATATTAGCTGGATTTTTTCCATTAAATTGTGAATCAACCATTGTCTTTATTCCTTGTACAATGGTTTTTCCAATCTGTTTTAATGTTCCATTAATAGCTTGTCTTACTACTTTATCTAATTATTTTGTTAATTTAGTTGATATATATATATATTCTCTAATGATACTATTCAATTGTTCTGCTCTTGTTTCGACAAGGTTCTTATTAATGTTTTTTCTATAAATATTCTGATTTTCTTTGGTAGTACCTTCAATAATATCTTTTAAAGTATTAAAGACAGATTGAACTACAGTCCACAACTTATTAATGATATCTATTGCTTTAAGAGTAGTAGCAGCTATTTTAACGTATTTTGAATTTGATTTCTTTAGACCATCAGCAAATAGATGATAACTATTTCTTAAAGAAGATACAACTCGTGTTCGAATATTATCAAATTGTTGAGGTAATAAAATATCTTTTCCTAATGTTTTTTCTAATATGTTTTTTAAATTCTTCAAAAGATTTTTCGAACTCTTCTTCATTTTTACTTTGAAGATAAAGAGTTTCTACTTTATTATTTATTAAACCGATTATTTCTTTTAATAAATTTTCTTCTATTTTACTAACAATCTTTTGTATAACATTTTCTTGAATCTGTTCCATAATTTTATCCGTCAAAAACTTTCCAATTCCAACAGTCAACATAGAGAGACCGAAGTTAATTGCTTTTTGTATTGCCCATTCTTTCCAACTAAAAGTACCTGATATTAAAGCATTGCCTATCTGAGTCAAACCAAAGGCTACTAAAACAGCTTCGGCAATGACTTGAACAAGTCCTATCATTGCAACGGCAAAAGCATTTCAATCCCACCAAGATTTATCTTCTTCAATAATCAAAAATTTATTAAGATTAAAACCTTCAAAAAATCTTAATTCACTTGGAACATTTTCTTGATCTTGAAGATCTATAAAATCTTTTAAATTAGCTTTTAAACCTTTTTTAAATGAACGAATATCTCCTTGTAAAGACAAAATTTTCGACAAAATTAATTCTTTATCATTTTCAAATTGAATATTTTTTAAAATTTTATTTAAAATTCTTTCAATATTTCTTTTAATATCTCCATATTTATATTTGGCAAGTCCACCAGACTTTAAAATATTTTTTTCTTTTTGATAAATTCGAATATTATTTCCTTCTTCTTCTTTAGTAGTAAATGGTAAATCTGTGTTGATAAAAATATTGATTTTGTTGACTAATATTATCTTTTAATTCTATTTAAAATGTTTTAAGATCTTTTGTTTCATGACCATTATCATTAAATTTAATTTTCGCATATTTTCCTTTCTATTGATTGTTCAAATAAAGAAATATTAACTTGTTGTGGATCTATTTTATCTTCTAAATCTTTCCAAACATTTTTATATATCCGTGGTAATCCTTTTTCTATTCTATTTATATTTCAAATTTGCCATAATTCGTCACTATAACAAACAATATTTTCGAAATCTTTTTTTTCAAAAGAAGATTTACTATTTAATAAACTAATTCATGGATCGGCAATCGAAGGATCAAGATCATTTCAAATTATCTTTTCTATTTTATCTCGTTCTTGTGAATTATTTCGAAATATTTTTCTTACTGTGTCTCCTTGAATAATTTCATGTTGTACTAAAAGTGAATATAATTCTTTTCCTTTATCTTGATCTTCACGAGTTAAATTTTGTTCATCTTTTGAATGTAAAATGAAATGAAATGATTCTACTGTATCTCCAACAGCTTCTAATTTTCCTGTTATTTAATCTTGATAAAAATTTTCTTTTGAAGAAATTCTTTTGAAGGGTGTGGGTGTGGGTAGGGGTCTTCTCTTTATCTACACCCACACCCAAATTTGAACTTAGCTCTACACTATTAGAGAACCTAAAGAGAAATCTCTGATCAAAATGCACTTTTTTCTGGAAACGAACTTTCTTCAAAATAAAAGGCAAAGCAACCAGACTATTTAATTTAAATTGATTACAATAGCTGATTTTCCACATTAATCGTTTGAATAAGAAAACAATTATTAATGTCTTCATTCAATTTACTAATTTAATCAAATAAATAACAGACACAACAGATATACAAAGAGGTTCATACAAAAAAAATTATATTGGATTTCTTCATATGAAAATAATGGCAAAAGAGTTCGTCTGTCTTCATATAAAAATTCAAAAATTATTTTCCTCTTATGCAACCATGATCATATGATGCCTGATCTGTTGTACCTAATCATACGAATTGAATCTTGCGATCAGCAGTACATATGAGTAAGATTTCTGGACTAATGACTATTTGAATTGAACTGAGGTCATTTGAAAAAAGAAACATAAATTAAATTTGAATAAATATTAGAACATAAAGAAAATTGTTTATGAATCGTATCAAAAGACTCATTGTTTAATACGTTATGATCGGGAGAAGTTACTTGATATTTTAAACAAAAAACTTTACACAAATATTCTTTAAGCATCAACATCAATCTGAATTTTATCATATATATCGAATATAAATATGCCAATGAGTCTTTTATTATAAGCCTTTTTATTGATAGAAACTTCTCATAAAAGTAACGAGAAGGATATCATTTCATAGGGGGACATTTGCAATTTTCTTTAAATATCATTTAGATCAAATTTTTCTTCTACTTTTCAAACATTCACTTATACTTCTTAACATATGGTTCTTACGAAAATTCTTTTACACGCATAGAACGTTAACACAGCTTTATCAAAATTTTTTCATTGAAAGTCTAATGAGAAAAGAAATATATGGTTGATTAATTAATTGATTTATTATTATTGAGATTTCTTTTACAAAATCAAATATTTGATCTATACATAATTTGATTTCTAAAAAAGGCAGAGACACTTTTCAGTCAACGAAATTAATGTACTTCGAGTATAACAAAATTTTTTCTTATTATTGTCAACAGATAACAAACTAATTGGTATTATAAGATTTAAATAAATAAATACAAAGCATAAATAAAGATACCTCACATTCAGATCAATTTTATTAACTAATAATCTTAGTAATTTCCTTTTATACATTATTTTATTATTTCTTTAGTTCAATTATGCATTGTAACAAGCTCTATTCAAATGAAATGTTTTGCTTGTACATTTTCTCACCTATTATTTACTCACGTTTGTTCACTTTTTTTGGAAAGAAAAACAAAATAAATATCGCAATAAAAGTGTCCCTTTTACAAACACTCGATAATTACATCAGTTCATTGCATAACGAAATCGGCAAAAAAATACCAATTGAACAATGTCTATATTGATGAGAGAATTGAATAGTTTTTTATGACTATATTAAGCAATGAAGACCCTTCAATTTGTTCTTTTGTCATATCAATTACGGAAAACAAGACAAATCTAATAAAAAATATTCTAGTCTAGCTATGTATATACCTATTTAATTAATACTTTTTCTAATTGTCTTTATAAAATTATGGAAAATGGATATATGTCCGAATATGTCTGTATTATTTTCAAAAACATCAAAACTTATCAAGAAAAATACACAAATAAGTTGTTAAGTAGGTTGCCTTTTTTATGAAACTTCATAACATCCCCATTCAATCGAAACAAACAATATACCAACAATAATTTGACGAAAGACTTGAATAAACTAAATACTATGAAAACAATAGGAAGTTCTTTTATCTGTTGAACAATCTCTGTATGAAGGAAAAATCATATGAAATACACGAATACACCTACAATGGTCTATTACTATTATGAAATCATTAGATTGACAAGTTTATTTTTTACTTAGATTTGTTTTTATCGTCTATGAAGTTGCAATCTATAAAAACACAGAATATACTTCATTTAATTCTAAGCATATGATATAATTTCATAGACAGTGATTTTTTCAGTAACTAGGAACAGTTATCTATTTCATTGATCAATACTCGTGAATATTTAAACAAACTAAATAGATTTGATCAATAAAAGCATTTAGTTTTTGGAATTTTCAATGAACAAAACAATTCTGTTTATAAAATCTAAACTCAATTAATTCTTTCTACTAACATTTTATCTGATGTAGTTTAATATAAAAAAACTATTGCCAAAAGCTAGAAATAGTATCGTTTTTGTGTCACTGTTTTCTATTCATAAACAGTAAAATGAATCATTTTTTTTCTATAGATACACGTGGAAAACAAAAAAAGAACAATAATATATACTGTGTAATCAGCTGTATATTTTCAGAGGAATTCATGACTACTGGTGCATGTGCCTCAACATTCGTTTTTTTTTATATATCCACAATCACGAAATGAATAAATCTAATATTGAAAATAATTTTGAGAGTTTTATATTCATCACTATTTCTCTGAATTTCTGAATGCAATTGAATACATATATAAAAATCAGTAATACAGGTTATTGATAGTTTGTGATATTTACCGAACGTGCTTATCGAAAAGATTTATTTTATACAGTTATGCTTCATAAAAAGTGAATGATAGTTACTCCTTTATTACATTTATTGTTTACTTATAATTGATACATATGACCAAGAAAATTTAATGTTATCTTATGGCAGACTTTGATGATTATACCCATGTCAATATCTCAACTATTCTTAAAATGAAGATTACATTTTCTACAAAGTTAATATGTTCAATGAATTATTCTTTGTAATCAAACGAAAAGTCTTCATTAAAATCAACTCGAGTTGATGAATTAACTTGTCTTGAGTCCTTATATAAAGATGAACCATTACAGTACACTAGAAGTTTGGTTATGTACGTGAAACTAAGAAATGTTTAAGTTTTTTATAAAACAGAAAAGAAAGGCAATAACTGATAATTACTTTCTATAGGTATCATCTAATAAATTATAAAATTTTCTGATTACATTTTGTCTTTCTTTTGAAATTTAAAAAGAAAAACAAGATTAAGTTACTCATACAATTTTACGTTTCCTTTTATCTATCAAAAGAAAGTATGTAAGACAGAGTGGAAAAAGAAACTAATAATTCTAAAAATTCATTTTTGAGACAAAAACATTTTATATTACGAAATCATTATATTTTGGATTTATCGATAAATAAATACTTGTTCGACTGCCCTCACTTATAGAGAAACATCAATTTTTTTTTGTTTTTCGTTTTGCTAGGATTTCATCAATCAATCAGTTTCATTTTGTAGAAGATATTTGGAAAAATAAAATGCTATAACATGAGAAGATAGAAAAATAAACTAAAACAACAACTATCATCGAAATGATAAAAAAGGTATTTTTTGAAGAAAAAAACATTTCTTTAAGATTTCTTTCGTTTGTCATCGATATTTCAAGGATGTTTTATATT